ACGATGACAAATATTCTGTTTGATATATCATTATGATGTATAACATCATAATGAGTTATGTAACATATAACTCAACAGGAGGAAACTTTCTAGAACTATTTAGTAAGGCAAAAGAATAAAGCCAATACCATTTGGAACATATTCCCAGGAAAAGCACAAATTGAAAGTTACATACATTATTCAGAAAGCCTAGCTGTAAAAAGAATTTAATTAGACAATTCTCCTTCATTCCAATGAAGCATTCATTAAAATGGATAGTGTCAGAAAGAATGACAAATTGTGCCAATTCCACGCCAAATAGCAGGCTGTTTGCTTAGCTTAGCCAAGGTAAACCTTGCCTCAGGAATTCATTGGAGCATTGCTCCACCATGATTACAGTGGTTTGCTTCAGGAAAATTTTGAGCCAGAAAGGGAAAGAAAAGAGTTTCAGTTGTTATAAATAGACAAAAAATGGACAGTAGGAATTTTTATTTCTTTGTGGCAAAGGATAAATTGTTCTATGGAATAAGGCTGTAGGATCTGTAGTTTATTTTGAAATAAAGGCATTGACCAAGGTAATTTCTAAGGTAACTTCTGTATGAAAAATTGTTGGATTCTCAGAGAAACACATTTACTTTGCTTTGGTGAGACATTAAAAAACAGTATATACTGATATATGTATTTCATTAATAATTGGTGAACACTTGAAATAATTACAATTCTTACAAGGCTTTATTTTCTCCTATTTTTAGAACAATTATTTTGGCTTATATCAATATTGGCCTCATAAATATGTTATACCTGGATAACTATGTTGAAGCCATTTGTCAGTTTTCTGAAGCTATTAGACTTGATCCTTTATATATTCAGAGCTACATTTGTCGAGCAGAAACCTATTATAAGGTATAAAGTTTTGAAAACTTTGATTTTTTAAAAAAATATTTTTTAGGTACTTGCTAGCTATAATTTAAAATATACTAACATATTTATAATGTTGGTTACAGAGGCTAGAGTATTTATAAACAATATTTAAGTATCTATAACTAACTATATATACACACTTAATAATTTTCCTTTTTAAAGAAAATATCTGTTCTTTCCCTATTACAATAGGAAATATATAGTTGTTGCATGTTATATGTATGTAAGGATAACTTTAAAAACCACCCACAATTTCATATTCTAGAGGTAACTGTTATTAGCATTTAGAGTCTTTTGGGTTTTTTTTTTGTGTGTGTGTATGCATGTATATGTGCTTGTCAGTGAGTGAGTGGGTTTGCAGGATGACTTCTATGCATAGAATGGGAGTCTACTATTTTTTGGGGAGTCATATTTTTTCTTAAATTTTCCAAAAATTGTTTAAATTAAAAAAAAACAGTCTATCCTTAGTGTGACAAACTCCAACAACGCACAAACAGCAGAAGTAGCCCCTGAGTGTTAGCACATGTTACTTTCCAAACCACAGCTGGCTTTGCAAAGATAAACACTATTAACTTGTCTCTGTCTTTCAAAGAGATAGCTCTTTCCACTAATCCATTACTGACTAGCCTGTCTGAGACACTGTCATTTCTCACTAGGATTTTTCAGTAGCCTCCTGGTCTTGCTTTCTTGTCCTTTACCTCCTTTTGTTGGATTTTCAACACAACAGTCTTAGTAATTCTGTCAAAACATAAGTCAGATTATATTGCTTCTTTGCTACAAGCTTTCAGTACCTTCCCTTTACCACCAAAATAAAAACCAAGTCCTGGAAAAACCAAAGGCCTACAAAAGCTTATATGAATTAGCTCCTCATTAACTTTCTGCCTGCATTACCTGTAAACCCTTTAATCACATTGGTTTCATTAGGATAAGATAGGTTAGACAGTCGAAAACAATGAACAAAACTTTAAAATCATGATAGTTAAAGGTTTATTTCTTGCGCACACTGCATGTTCACTGAGCATTGGCTAGCAATTCTGTTCTCCACTGTCTGCAACTAAGGACCCAGTGTCACTACTTTCTCATTCAATCCTTACCTTGCTGCTGATGAAGGTTGAGGACTAAGGCAGGCTTAGGACTGTTCCTGGGCCTTGGTTGGTGAAAGGAGGAACAAATTTGTGTATGTGGGCTTTTTGGCTATTTCCCTGTTGATGGAGCTGAGGCCTTCTGGAGGTAGGAATGTCCTCAGCATACTTAGAAGCCAAAATACCAGTATAATATCAGGGTATAAGACCATATATTTAACGACTTATTTTTCTGGAAGACAAAAATTTCAACACAGTAATGACTGAATAAATTGTGTTATTATTATTTTTTTAAAGATTTATTTACTTGTGCATACAGAACTGGGGTACAGGCCAGAGGCTCAGGGGCGGTGAGAGGCTTCACCAGAGACAGAGTGGCGAACAGAACAGGCAGATCGACGAAGTACACTGCTGAGGGGAGCAGCGGGCGGGTCAGGAGAGGTCTGCCACACCATGTGGTCACCTCCGGGGCAGGCGGGAATTGAACTCATGCGGAAGCAGCTTTAGATTCTCAGTGCTGTGCTTTAACCCGCTGCGCCACCAGGGAGGGCCAAAATTGTGTTATTTTTACACCACATAATATTACATAGAATAGTTATAGTAGATGACTGGAAAATATTTCCATGAGATATTGTTGTGCAAGAAAGGAGGAGAGGGAACAGGATCAAAAGTGGGGTGGAAAGAGCACACGGGACTATGGTGATGGCATATGGGTGAAGTGGTGGTGGGAAGTTCACAGGGATTACAACTGAGATGAAAACCTACGAAATGAAGAAAGATGTAAAAATTATACATAAGATAAAAAGAAAGAAAGAAGATATGCTATATATACATGATAGAAAAAAGGGGCAAGTTTCAGAAGAGCATCAAATGTTTTCATTAAGATCCCATGTAAATAATACAATTACAACACAAACACTATGTACATATTTCTGTGTGTTATGTATGGGGTGTGAAGAAAAAGGCACCCAACTCTGTGTGGAATCAGGCTCCAGGGGACTCCAGTACAAGGGTGCCTGCAGAAGCTTACCCTCACATCTGCTTGTGAAGATCTGCAAGTGAGCCTACACCTTTTCCAACCAAGTCTTCCTCAGTGCAGTGATGTGCGTGGCTAGGACAGGTGGAGCAGGGCAGACATAGGACTTGACAGCTCATTGATGGTACCAACCTGAGGAGCAGCAGGCTGGAGAGGCAACAGGCTGGAAGTTCTACAGAAATTCTCAAGTTTACTTAAACTCTCCTTAAAAGTTCTCCTTTTGATTCCTCCTCATTTCTACCTCAAATTGTATTACTTGTCAGTCATTTACATAATGACAATTTTGAGTGGACATCTTCCCACCAATTTCATACATTTCATTACATTGTCACACTGTCTTGCTAAGAGGAGTGTTTGATTGTCCCAAGTTCATTTTGCTGGGGTCTTGGTGTTGTCCTCCTTTTCTGCTATCCCAGTGATCATAGGTTTTTGTTCCCAAATTTATCCAAATCTGGATTGTGCTCCTGTGGCCAGTGTTAAGGAAAGATTAAATGTATGATTTATAATATATGTTTATTTTAAACAGATACTTGCATCATTCTTGAATTTTGTTTCATTACTTCATTTACCTGTCAATTTAAAATTGTTTTAAAACTTGTTTTTTCCCCTTATTTTGAAGTAAAATTGACTTACTGTTTATTTTACCTTCCTTTGCATGTTAGTTTATTAACATTGGTAAAGTTGGGTGAAAAATTTCTCAGAGTTGAGTTAACAAAAAAGGAGAATAAATGACAGTGCCTATATTTGTGGGTAAAATTAAAGATAAATGTTTTTTATCTTTTATCCAAACCACAAAGATTTGGAATCAGAAGCTTTTTAAAAAGTTTTTCTATATCCCAGTTGCATTGATTATTCTCCGACACAGCATGTATATTAGGAGATGTGTTGAAGGGTGGGAAGGGAGAAACATCAGAAAAAAACCAATTGGGATTCCTATGAATTAAGTTTCTGTTTATTACTCCACAGTTACATAGGCTAAAAAAGTCAGTAAGGGAGTTATGTCGGGCCATCCACCTGCAACCAGATGGAATCCAGTTATATATACTAAGGTAAGAGCCTAGAAATAGAATTCTTCTTGGGCTAACTTGACATCTGAGCTAGCTGTCGGGCTCTTTCGTGCTCTCTTGCTCATTCCAGCCTTCACTTTTTACATTTAATTTCCCAACAATGGACATCTTCAAACCAGTAAGTCATTCAATTGTTGTTAAAGTTTAAGATGGCTTATAACATAACTAGATTTTCCCCTTTTCTCTAACTTCACATCAAAGCACAATTGTATAGTAATTGCATTATTTGAAGGTTCTCTATGTTCCAAGATTTATATTATCACGTATGTGATAAAAGTAAGAACAACTGTTTGATTGTGTCCACAGAGGTACCAAACATAGTCTCAATAATTAGTTAAAAAAAAGATACATTTTGGGGGAAACTTTTTCAAATTTAGTAGAACTGACAATTAACCACCCCATTCTAAATTATGAATTATCACTACCAAAAATGTCATAATATCTAAAATGGGAAAAGAACTTAGAGATAAGAAAAATGGGCTGGAATAATGCTTTTGATAAAGGTTTTATCTTTTGACTCTTGAGCCACGTTTCAGTAATTTATGTAAATATTCCTCCCTTTCATGTCCCTTAAACTCTCTTTGAACAATCAGGAACAGAGTACATAATTTCAGTTACGAAAAAAGTTTCAATACTTTCAGGTTTACAATTTGTAAATCCCATATCTCATCACATATCCATACTAATTTGTCTATTAAACTACATAACATAGGTCTGTTTTCCACATTACTTGTATCATATATATGTAAGTACACATGAACATAGCATAATTGTAAAGTTTTAAGTAATTGCCTATCAGGAACTTAATTTTTAACTGCTTAGACTCAATGAGGTATTATTTCTTCCAGGGGACAATATCTTCTTATGATGAAAAGTTATGATCTTGCAAGGTTCACTATTCATCAAGTAGCAGCAATGAACAAAGGTAAATGTAATTAATAAAAAATTATAATAGTCTCCACTTAAAAAGAAACCTCTTTAGAATTTGTATACTCCTTGTAATAGCTATGTAGAGAGAGCATGAGGGTTCACTTGAAAGTCCATTTGATTTTGAAACAGTGCTTCAGTTTTGTATATTCATAATCAATTAGTAGCATACTTTTTAAAATATCAAATGTATACTTTATTTTTTTGCTTGTAATTAGAATGTCTTTTTGATTATTGATAGTAAATAGATTATAGTATCAGACTGATTAAATTCATATTAAAATGTTATTGAATTGTTTGACTTCCTGAGAATGGTCATACTCTAATTCCTGGATACTTGACAAAGATACGATAAACTTTCCTTTTCTTTAGGTTCCATTGAGTTAAGTCCTATACAGCAATCACTCATTTATTCATTTTGTGAAAACCATGACAAAGCCATTCAGGTCTTGGAGGGGGTGACTTCGCAAAAGCCGGAGATAACCACGTATACTCTTTTAGCAAAAGCCCAAATGAAGGCCAAGAAAAACAAGGTGAAAAGTATTGAGTAATGTTTGCTAACCCCATTAATGGAATTTTCATGTTGTACTTAGAATGGCGGCTTACATGTTCTTTTCACAGAAACTTAATCATATCATTTATTTATTGATTCTTCTGTTAATTAACATTTGGGTGGTTTCTTTTTTATTTTTATTTCCTCTTTAATGTAGGGTTGTTATAAGTAGTCTTTTAATGCCTTCTGTTGATATGGGAGGAGATTTCCAGGATATATTCCTAGAGTGGAATTGGTGGCACATGAATGTTTAACTTCCAAGAAAATGACACATTGGGTTCTGCCAATTTTTTCTTCCTCCCACAGTGTATGTATGATCCTGCTTTTTCTACTTTATTTTATCATTGGTGGATAAAAACTAATGTCCCAATGTAGTCTTAATTTACACTTCTAGTTTGAGCACAGGTTAAGCATCTCTGCATATATTTGTTGAGCCACGTGTGCTTCTTGTTCTGTCAGTCTCTTGTATACATTCATAGTTAGTAGGTCTTACTCATCAGTTTCAGACAATTAAAAAAATTTATACATTAATCTTTGGTTGGTTATATGTATGCCACCTATCATCTTGTTATTTGTAACTGGCCTTGTAATTTATTTTATTGTCTTTTAATGAACAGAGGCTCTTAATTTTAGTGAAGTTGAAAACATTTATTTTCATTTTTTTTCTTGTTTAAGAAGTCATTCCCTATTCTGCTCTCAAAGGTTATTTTCTACAGTTTGTCCTTGGTTTCTCTATGTTCTAGATGTAAGCTATGCCACCCAGTTTATGTTGTTCTTTCTGACTTATTTCACTTAACGTTATCCTTTCCAGCTCCATCCATGATACTTTAAATAGTATATGTTTATCCTTTTGAGATCACTGACTAGTATTCCATTGTGTATATCTACCACATTTTTTTGATTGGTCTTTGAGTCCATTTTTGCTTCAATTCTGTTTGTCTTTTTTATATCACACACCTGAGTAAAATCATAAGGTTGTCTTTCTCTGTCTACACTTACTGAAATTAGACAGATAGAAAATAACCTTTAGAATTTAGAAATTATACTTCTAGAGACCTCCATCCTTAAATTGCATTAGCAAGATCTGTGACTTCACTGAGCCTGGTAAAGTCTTTTTAGCATTTAAGGTTGTTTTGTTAAGTAAGTATTAAAAAAGAACATTCCCTGTGCCCTTTACATTTACGTTTTATCATTATAGGAAGCTGTGAAAACATTTAAAAAGGCTTTGGAAATATTCTCTCGTTCCGATAAAGGGCCAAGTGTCATGGCAGCGTCTGCAGACTGTTTGTATTACTTGGGTCTTTGTTACCTGGAGGACGGCAACATTCAACTGGTATTTTATGTAGCTGGGACTAGGTCATCTGTATTTTAGAAATGACAGCTTGTATTCTGTTCTATTTCTGAACGCTATCTACCCAGTGAAGGATTAAGCCAAAACTTCCCATCAAGCTTAGCTTATTACATTAAGTCTCTACTGCCATCTGCACCACATGGCTTTATTTGATCAACACATTTTCATGTGATGCTCATTAGCTTGCAAAGACTAAAGACTAATTTGTACTTCTGATCAAAACTATACATTTTTAACTGTAACAACTTATTGGAACATAACTTCATCATGTTACTATGAATTTATTTGCTGAATTGCAAGTATTTAAAGTGCACTTCAGTGTAAGAAGATTAAATGGGAAATGATTAGGATACTCTTGCATTGCTTATTAGTGAATGAAAAATTCAATCAGATTGAAACTGAATATTAAGATAGCCAGATTCGTTGAACATCAGTTGATTCAATTGTCAAAAGTCCATCCAGTCTTTCACTATTTTATTGAATTCTCCATTCAAAATTATTAATGATATGAGGAATATGTATAGAATAATTAATATTTCCCCATGACTAACATGAGCTGTTCTATATCTCCTTCTTTACACACACACACACACACACACACACACACCATTCTAGCCCTTATATTCATAGAGGTAGATGATGTCCAAAACTTGTATCAAATTTAAATAAGAGTTGTACTTGATTAGTTGTTCTATTAAGAAGTTTCAATAAGGCTATGATTAATTATAAACCTTTCCTATATTTTCAGTCCTGTTCAAGAAACAGAGCAAACCTAGCTTTACTTTCCAGTGTTGACAAGTTTGGAGTTCCCTACTGAAATTTCATTACAGGCATAAGGGGACTAATAAATAATACTACTCTGATTTGCTCAAAAATGTTATCTTTGCTTGTTACACATTTTAATACATTCATTGGGAGAAATGTATTCAAAATACCAAAATAGTAGGGTGAATAACCCCTCAACAATTGCATACTGTGATTTATTAACATTTAAAATTAATATATTCTACTCACTAAACAATTTGCTTTTTATTAATATGCTTTTGCAGGCTTTTGATTCTTTTACACAAGCTGTGAAAGCAAATCCTGAGTTTGCCGAAGGCTTTTATCAACGTGGGATTTGTAAAATAAAACTCCAGAGGGATAACTCAATCCTGGATTTTAATCGTGCACTTACCATTGATCCAAATCATTACCAGGTAATTTTTAATTTACTTATTTTAAGGTTTTTAAAAATTTTTTATGCATTCAAGAACTGAGGTTCAGGCCAGAGGTGTTGGGAGTGAGGATTCATGAGAGACATAATGGGGAACAGAACAGGCAGATCAAGTGCTGAGGGGAGCAGCGGAAAGCTCAGCAAAGGTCTGAGTATGTGGGTAGCTCCCTGGCCGGGGATGGAGCTCATGTGGATAGCCTCGTAGTCTTGTGCTTCAACCCATTGTGCCACCAGCAAGGCCCAGCAGGTAATTTTTTAAGGTAAAGGTTCTGATTCAGTTGGTCTTGGAAGAGCACGAGGAGTTGGATTCTGGATTTCAGTAAGTTCCCCAGTGATGCCAGTACCACACTTTGAGAATCACAAGTTCAGACCCAGCTCTCACATCTTGGGCACAAATCAAGTCCTTAGAATGAAGCTGCACTCCTCTCCAGACCAGACCAACATTACCAGGTATTTAAATGCACAATTTGTAATTTGAAGATTGTGTTAATTTGTGAAAACTATTAAATCCTGAGCATGTCATTATTATTATTAACAATTGGTTGCTTGTGCTTTTTAGCTGGATTTTAAAATCCATATGTCTGTATAGGCCCTTGAATCAAAATATTCCTTCTAACAGGGAAATTACATATATTCACACACACACATATATTCATATGCTTTTTGAATTGTTGCTAAGATAAATATTGCTCATAGTTTAATGGACTTGTTAATAATTATGATTTTATATATTATATTGTTATTAATTTTATTATTTACTTTTTGTTTTGTTATGACATTGACTTCTCCCTTTGAGAGAATATAGAGATAACACATGATTCACTGAGACTTGATTGTAATCTGATTTTAAAAGCCTATGAAATTTGAATATAAGCTAAATATTAGATGATTTTAAATAAGTAATCTTAAGTTTCCTAAGTATATAGTGAGAGTGAAGTTATGTTGGAGAATGTCTTTCATAGGAGATGACTACTGGAAGATTTGGGGTGGAGCACTTTGATGTCTACAACTTACTTTCAATAATTCAGTAAAAAAGAAATAACAAATATTGTGAAATGTTAATAAATATTGAAATTTATTGGTACTGAAGGTAAATTGATGTTATTTATACTATTTTTTCAATTGCTTTATATGTTTGAAATGTTTTCAAACAAAAAGAGTAGGGGAAAAAACCCTATCGTTTATCATCTTTAGGTTGCACGGATTTATTCAAATATAGTCCACATAGTGGTAGAATTGATGCTTTTACCAGAACATTCATTTCTGCACCCCTCCTCTTTTTCTGAAAAGGCGTATTTAAGTCGAGTAGCCTTCTATGGTTTGCAAGGCAGATACTCCAAAGCAATCTTGAATTGTAACGAGGCCATCAAAATTTATCCCCGGAGTGTGCGTGCCTTTATCTACAGAGGAGTTCTGAAGTACTACAACAAGGTAGGGAGATTTCCTGCTGTTTTTACTGCAACTTTAGAGTAGGTGGCTGCTACCTGCCACGTAGGGATTCATTTCCTTATTTCCTTGCTGAGAATTTCCATGGCATGAAGGATAGAAACACACAGAACACTTATATTTTCACAACATATCAAATGGGATATTAATGCATAATTTGTTACAAAGTAGTGATTTTTTTGACATTTAAATAGCCCCTATTTATTAATTCTCTGTAGATATTTTGTAAAATACAAAGGTGAATAAAGGAGATTAAAATCACCCATAGTGTCACCATCAAATGATAATTCCTGAGCATACTTTTGTGTTTAATTTTGTTTTCCTTGATAATTTCTGATATATACATTTTCCGGAATTGGAATGTTACTTATATTAACTGCTATGCCCTGCTGCTTATATTAACTCTTTGAAGGTACCGTTTTTGATGACTACATGATACTTTATTTACTTAAAGATTTATTTTTCATTTATGCTTATAGAACTGGGGTATAGGATAGAGGTGTGGTGGGTGAGAGGATTCACTAGAGACAGGGTGGGGAGCAGAACAGGCAAACTGACAAAGTCCACAGCTGAGGGGAACAGCGGATGGGTCAGGAGAGATTTGCCAGGCCATGTGGGTCAGCTCTCTGGCCGGGAATTAAAACTTTGCTGCAGTGGCTTCGGAGAGCTTCATAATGTGGTGCTTTAACCCATTGCACCACCAGGGAGAACCTCTATTTTAGTTTATTTTAAATCACTTTATTGTTAGACATTTGGGGTACACAATTTTTTTACTATTTGAAGTACTACAGTTAGAATTACTGAGAACCCCATCACTGTTTGTGTTGGTGACTGGTTCCTTAACAGAAAGGATTCAAGAGTGAGCATCATGAATATCTGATGCTTCATGGAATACTTGGTTTCTCTACTTTTTATCTCCCTACTTTTCTTTTCTGACCTTTCTTTGTAGCTGTTTCATATGAAATATTTTGCAAATAATACTTTAAAGCAAGGTAAGACCTTGTATTATATGTTAATTCCATGAAAATTGCTGTCTATGGAAATGGATGATGTTGGTATCAGAGAAGCATCAAAAAGGGAGCAAAAGAGAATGTGGGTGGCAAACATGGCAGTTAGGTGCTGCGACATTGTGTGTGACAGAAGCAGGCCTCCGCTGGTGAATGTCTGACAGATGAATGTGGCTTTTTTCTCTTTTACGAATCAGAAGTATAATTTTCTCCTTGCTGTAGAGCAACATTGGCACTAAGATAATCATCTAAATTAGTGTTATTTATATACTGGATTTTATTTGCAGGTGAGAAGAGCTATAATAATATTTCCTACCCAGGGATCTTAATTAACTTTATAGAAAATTAGCTAGATTGTCTTAATTTCACGGATGATACACAAAATGGTTAAGCAAGTATTCCAAAAACTGCTTGAATCAAGAATTTATTTTACAATTAAATTTCAGTCCATTATGATTAGCCCTTCTCACTTAATTATTTTTTTCTTTGTAGACTTATAAGCTGGCAATTATAGATTTAACTACAGCTGTCAACATGGACAAGAACAATTATATAGCATATTATAACAGAGCATTATGTTATACCAAGATAAATGAAATTCAATTGGTAAGATGACCATTTTAGTAAACAACACGTTCAAGTATTGGTAAACACATTAAATGCATGCATATTTTCTTACTATCTCTGTTATCACTTTGAAAAATAATTTACATGGAAACATCCCTACAAAGCAGGAAAATTCAAAGAACCATTTCAAAGAATGTTTAATGTCTTTGTTACTGTTTACCAAATTTTCATATATAAAATCTGTGATATCGAATGAAAAATTAATTTTACAAATATTTCAACACGTCAGTTAAAATACGTTGCCAGATTCTCATTTGAGCAAATGTTTTTATTGATAAAGTGCAGTGCAGAATTGTTAAGCAGTGATCACTAGCAGTGTTATTGCTTCAAAAATCTCAGTATTAGCTAGAACATGGAATTTTTGATACAGTTCAGACCACAGGTGCAGTAGGCAGTTGAAGGACTGTTCCTAACTCCTGGGGCTAGCAATGCATAGGCTTGCCTTCAGGTATGGAAAGTCACAGCACGTTCTAGACTTGTTCTCATTCAGCTTCTACCTGTGGAAGCCCACGTTCATATTTTCTGATCTTGCTCCTTACTTTTCTCCCCTTGGTCTCACCTTATCCCTAAGTCCTTCCTCTTGTCCATTGATCCTTTCCAGTCAAGATTCCTCCCTGGGGAGCAGAACAACTAGTGTTCTTTGTCATCCTCCTGCTTCCCTTTCTGCTCATCCATGTTTTCCCACCCTCCTTTTCTCCCTACTTTCACGGTCAATGAAGCATCCCTTTAAAAGACATCACATTCCTGCTGTTCCACACGGGCAGAGCGCCCCCCACCACCATCTCCTTGTAACTTGGACAATTAAATCTGTTGAAAACATTTAGAAATGTTTAAATTTATCTGCTCCAGAAGGGAGAGTTGAGAGATATTATTTCCTGGTAGCCAGATCATCAGTTTCCTCCTGATAAATTGACAAATGAATAATTTTCAGCAAAGAAGTTGTTAAGATTCTGGGAGATAATTAAAGGATCGTTTATCAACCTAACTTGCACAGCAGGTGTCTTGGAGGATTCCCTCTCCACCCCCCCTTTCCTGCCTTCTCTAGGCAGCACTTAAACTGAAAACAATGAGCTGGGTGGGGGCAGGGAGTTGCCATTTTGTTGGGTCTGATATGTGACTGATGAAAGATGAAAAACTACCTGAACAGAGAGAGCCAATTAATAACAACATATTGACTGTCTTAGAGTGGCCACGTAGCCAACATGTTTCTTGCAATAGGCTCTTTTACAGATGAGGAAATAGAAGTAAGGAGAGGTTAGCCATGCATCCAAGTCACACAGGGAGAGAGAGGAGAGCTGTGCTGGTGGCAGAGGTGTGTTTGCATCTGGTTAACAGCCTTCAGGTGGCTTTGTCAAAGGTCTGACTGAAGTCCAGCGTGTGAACCGGATGTCATTTAACAGCGTCACCGCCTCCCTTTTTGTTCACCTCTACCTGTTTCACAGCATTTCTGCTATGACTAGACTGAGGAAACCCAAGGATTTTCCACAGAAAGGGCATTTTAGCATTCTTCTAAAAAATGGTTTCATGAAAACTAAGCAAAAATGAATTCTGACTCCCACTACTCTATATTTATAAAAACCTTAGCAGTTACTGTTACTTAGGATTTATTGTATGATAGGCACTGGACTAAATGTTTTACCAACAGTCAGTCAACATATTTTTAACTGGACCTTTATAGCAATATGATGAGGAAAATGAGGCTTAAGTAACTTTTCCAACACTGGTTGTAGCAGAGGCATAGCACAAAATCCTGCACTGTGACCTTTGTGAAATCTCAGCTGCTTAGTGGGTCTCTAAGGCATCTGATGAATTTTACATTCTGTGATCTAAAAAAGGAAACTTACCAGTTTTTTTTTAAATAAGAATTATGAATTATTTTTATAGGTTTTTTACAATGCTTATTTGTAATGATCCCACAATGTACATATACAATCTTTAATTGTACAACTCTTTTAAACACTTAACAGCACAATTATGAAACACTAGATGAGGACCAAAGAGCAAAGAGTAAAATACTGTTTATTTGCCTTTTCAGTTCGCTGTAGAAATACACGATTTTGCCATTTCTGGTCAAATCACATGGCTCTTTTGGACAACAGGTTCAGTAGAAATGAGTGAAGAGATTCAATTCCACCCCAACTTTGAGACACTTGTAGAACCTGGTGATGAGTAGAAACTTGCTTATTCAGTAAATGAAAAACAAATGGAGAAAGGTCTTCTGAGTGGATTAATTTTCAGCTTAAACGAATATCCTTCAGTTTAAGCTAACTCCTCCTCCCAAGTATGCCTATCAATTTTTGAAGTATTTTTCCAATAAGTGCCTATTTTTTGGTTAGTTTTATAAAGAACCACTTTCTTTGACTTGTGATTTATTCAGGGAACGAAAATTTATGGACTGCCTGTATGTGCAGCCACAGTGCTAGTGCTGGATTTCCGTTAGTGAGCAAAATGGGTAAGCTCTGCCTTCACCCTAGACCTCAGTGAGGAAAACCAACCCACCAACTAACCAACCCACCAACCAACCAACCAACCAAAACACTAAAAGACGTTAAATCTCAAGAGGTAACAAAGGCCTTGCTTTAATAACAAAAGTTATTTGGGGAAATGACTGAGTGGGACAAAGGAGATATCACCTTCCTTCATAACAGCATCTTACCTGCAAGCGCATTTTTAAAAACAGCTATCGACATAATATTCATCTAAGAGGACCATTTAAAACTAAAATATGATCACTTGAGGCCATAAATTATAAGACAAATTAAAGGACTTTTAGGTCCTAGATTGGGGATAAACTTACCTGTCTATTGCCAATGCGTATGATTCTAAAGACCTGAATCTAGGATTTAAGTGATTATTTTATTTTAGGCATTAAAAGATTATGGAATCGTGCTACTGCTTAATGCTGGAGAAACTGTGACACTAAACACCTTCATTAATCGTGGGCTCATCTATGTGGAACTAGAGCAGTACGGCTTTGCATTAGAGGTAAATCTTTGTTGATTGTAAAAATAAATCCACTTGATTTTGCATGTTCACTTTTGAAAACGAATAAATAAGTTTTTTTCTTGATGCTAAATGGTAATATTAATGAGCAACAATTCAACTTTTGCAGAAGTTATATTGAAATGCTTTGACCAAGTAATAGAATCTGCAAAAAAAATGTGCACTTACCTGTTTTGATTACAGAATAGCCAAGATGTTTAAAAATATTTATTTCTGATTTGATGAAATAGCTTACCAAATGATCAGTTCCTAAAGGGAGTTTTTTGAATATACAAAATTCAAATATTTGGCAAATAAAATGATCTGTGAATCAAGTCTCCTACTGTCCATGTCCTCATTTCCTGTCCTTGACCTTTATGGGAGGAGAATGCATTTCCTGCTAATACTGGGGTGAAAGAGGGTGTAAATGTGTCAAATGCTGCACTCTGAGGCCTTAGTGGATGAGGTAGAAGGCACTACCTGCAGGCCAGCCTATGAACCCCAATACCTCACACAGCTTCCTGGAGCGCCCTTCAATACTAAATTGAACTATTTGGAAGGAAACAAATGTATTGTCTAACTAAATATCTAGCTTGATCAAATATGATAGCTGACAACTCCCTTAAGATGCCCTTTTTATTTATTTATTTTTGTTAAATGTAGGGATGCACTGTGGAGGAAATGAGATAAACTCATTAGCTCATTTCACATAGCAGGTAAAACCATAAGAAATGTGCCCACCTTGGAAGTGCAGCCAGTAGCACCAGATTTTCAGGCATGTGTTTCTGCTGCTCTAGTGGACCTCACTAGATATAACACTCAGAGGAAAACTTGAGTTTTAGGAAGATGTCTATTTAGATGCTGGTGTTAAGTATATTCTTGGAAGAATCAGTGATGAGGTGGTAAAACATAAGAAGACAAAGATGATGGTTGTAAAATTAACAGAAACTTATAAAACCGTTTCAGGATTTTAAACAAGCTACACTGATACAGAAGACTAGTGTGAGTCTCTGCCAAGCTACCGCCATGTGCCATCACAGGTATGGAGCACGGCATGCGTGGAAGTGAAAGCAAGTGAGACTGTGACATCGGGCATTATGACAGGAGAGTAGAAAATGTGGAGGAAAAGGCTGGGGAAGAGACAGTAAAAAATTGGGCCACTAGCATCCCTAGGCAGAGGTGGGGGGATGTCAAGGATGTTACGAGGTCCCTCTACCTTTTTTTTTAAATTTAACTAATTAATTAATTAATTATGTTAAAATATATTTTTGCACCATTCTTCATTTTTGCTTAATGTATGCTTTTTTATCTCTTTAACCCCCGTAGACTTCCCACCATCAATTCACCTGTGTTCCATCACCATAGTCCCTTGTACTATTTGTGTTCCTCTCACCCATGTTTTGATCCTACCCACCACTTCCCTTGTGTAGATGTCTCTGGTTTATAGTTGTTTCTTGATTTTATTTTTTATTTTAGTACAATTACTGTTTTTGCACTCCTTCTGTGAGTGAAACCATCTGGTATTTTTCTTTTTTATTTTGGCTTGTTTCACTAAGGATGATCCCTTCAGGCTCCATCCATGTTGCCACAAATGGTCTGAGTTTATCTTTTTGATTGCTGTGTAATATTCCGTTGTGTATATGTTTCATATACCATATCTCTGATTCAGTCATCTAGTTTTGGGCATTTGGGTTGATTCCACATCTGCCTTCGAATAAGCTGTAGTCCAGTGAGCCAGCAAACCCCTACCTTGGGATGTTGGGAGCAGCCGTCTGTGTAAGCCCATTCATTTCCTAGGAAAGGATCCTAGTGAGACAGGATAAAATCACAGTAACTTAAGTTATCTAGAATAAAATCAAGTAAATAATTTTGTTCATGAAAATAAAACTAACTTTCTAGAGAAAGAGAAGGTGGTTTAAAATAACATTTTCAAGAAAAAATTATATTTTGAAAGTTTAATTCTCAATCAAAAAACTAATTAAAACAATGCCAGTAAGTGTCACCAAAGTACAATAGAATTGAAAAATAAACCTATCACTTAAAATATTATTGCCAATTTCTGGAATGGTTGTAAAAACAATATAGGAGAAGAGAAAAGAATGGTTACATGAGACTAAATGTAGAAGTTGACCAGTTTAAAATTTACCCTGAGATAGCATAGTGTTGTATTAATTATCCTCACTTTTCTACAAATACATTTGACTTATAAGAGGTCATTTTGCTTTTAAAAACATAGAAATTCAATACATAATGATCTTCACATGATGTAAGATGTTTTTGGGCTATATAATATCTTAAAGCTTTATTTTTCATGAGAGAAGAAATAGCAATTAATTGTAAGAGGAAACTGGGATAGTAGAGTAGGCTACGTAAGTATTCTGCTTAGAGAATAGAACATAGTTTGAATTATTTGGAAAATTCCCCCTTGCCTCCTTTTGGGACATAAATAGGACAGCATCTTTTCCCTAAGAGAGAATAAAACAATTTTTTCCCCCTGAGCTTAATAACTAGAACTTTTGAAGTTGTCTTTGGGTTAAAAGGCCTAACCTGGTCTTTGACCTTTAATTTTATGCAGCTACCCAAAACTAGTCACACTGTTTATTTTAATCCAGCCGCCATTGTACAATCCATTTCTTTAAGTAATTGTTATTCTCAAAAAGTAATGGAATAATGATGACTGATGTGTTTGTTTTGTGGGGTGTGTTTGCCTAGACCAAAAATGTCTGAGGTCATTCCAATTCTCTTAGAACTAAAAACAGAATCCGAAATGTCTCTCAATCTCTGTCCTATGTTTAGAACCTATAGAGTCAGTAACCTCCTCCATGTGTCAGTCCCAGATCTCTTTATAAAATGTAATCACTAGGTATATGTGATGGAACTCCCTTACAACAGACTCTGTAATTCTAAATCACCAGCTCCCATCCCCTGACTAGGGTCTCTCTTGTCCTTTCATAAAAGTAGAATTTAAGTCAACAGTAAAAGCCCTTAACTCATAGTCCCTATTCCATGTGTTTGGGATTTTAACAATTTTGTTGATCTTAAAAATAAGAAATGTTTAGTGACTGGTTATATTTATTTCAAGAAAAATAGTTTTGTTTTTCAAGCTAAGCTATAACATACGTACACCATAACAAATGTGGTTTGTAAATATTGATTTTTGACTATGGTCATCTTATGGTGAGAAAATGACATTTCTCCCAGTTGGAAAATTTAAAATAAGGAATAAATCTTCAATTTTAGGGCTTTGATCTTTGAACTCGTGGGGTTGTAGACTTTTGAAGTGTGCTTTTGTATATTTCCCACCCCACTCCCCCTTACTCTTGTAGTTGCTAGGAGACAACATTCCTTAGGCTGAATATCCTAAGTGTTGCCCAATTTGGTCTCTGTGAGTGTTAAGGTAGAGTTAATTTTTAGACTTCTTTCAGAAAGTTACCTTTAGATTTAGTTATAGACTCCACACCCTTTTACTTCAGAAACTTTATTTTGTCTTTTATATTTGCATAGTTTTCATTTGAACCTTTTAACTTGGCAAGTCACATTCTTCAGTTTGGGGAGGTATTTATGACTTATTTGAATAACTCAGTAGAGCACATCTGGTCGTGAATGTGATTCTTTGGGGAATGCGGTGGTGGCCTTGGTGTTCGTGGCCAGGTTCAAGCACCGAGCTAATGGACACTGTGAGGAGAATCACACACCTTCAGTCAGTGAGCACAGAATTTTAGATCTATATGACTATATTTTTGCAAAACCTATTTACTCTACTTTTATACCTGCACTAACTGGTGCTTTACAATTTATGTCTTGGTGAACAGGTTTCCTGAAAATACCTTGCCACGTCTTTCCTTGTGAATATTTAACAAAATTTCCATCTACAGGACACTTTGTGATAAACACATCAACAGAAAAAGTAAATTGCTCTGTTTCTTTTATTCTTTCCTGTCTGCTGGTACATGGGTTTGGGGGTTCTCTGACTTTAGGTCTGTCACCTACTCTGCACTTGACTTTTTGTTATCATCAGCCCTGAAGAACTTACTTAGTACCTTTAAGTTTCAACGATTATTTACTTTGAAAAAAAACCTAGCTGTTCATTAAATATAGTGTTGATAATAAGATAAGGAAGGAAAAATAACCTATGGCTCCATTTTTTTTAATTGGTTAGTCTATTTAAAAAAGGTGAGCCTATATTTTATAAAACTTACATTGGCATATATATACTCCCAAAGGATCTTAATCTCTTTCTGGATCAAGGGGGTGGTGTATATAATGCTATTTGGATGTCTCTATAGTAAGAGCATTCACTGTTTTCTGGGGAAAATGTGGAAGAGTTTTGCTTTGCCGATTTTCAGTTTGCATAGTTACATAGGTAAATATCATAAACAAATAGTCTACCTACAGATAGAACTGCTGAGCATAGTGAAACCTATACTTTCATGCAAGATTAAAATTATCCTATAATTTTGTACAAAACCATTTCTGCTTTTTTTTTTTGATAAAGAATTTGTTATGCATGCTTATAATTATTTCTGTAATGGAGTGAGAAGGCAGGTCCTGGTATTTTTGAGCCCAATATTCAGTGAACGTTTGCTTCCTAAATAGTGCCAGAATCAAGAAAGAGGAGCATAATTTCACTGTAAACTGCTGGAGGGAAGAAACAGTGTTTTCTTAGTAACCAGCCACAGAGTTTACTCAGAAGATTCCAACTGGTTCGCATATGGGAATGTTAACCTTCTCCTGTCTGTAACAGCAGAACCAAGCTTTCCAGTTATTCTTGTGTTATTTCTTAACAGAATATTTGATGCACCACTTTTGGGTAGGAGTCGTCAAAACATGGAGCAACTATCTTGAGCACCTGAATTATTTTTTCAAGGTGTAGTCAAAGATTTAACAACAACAAAAAATGAATCATATTGCGAGAAACTGAACCACTTTTTATTTTCAGTCTAAATTCTTTTACAAATCTTCTGAAGCCATCAAGAAAGAAAGGATCAGCAGGGAGCTGTTCATTGACATCTTTCTGCCACTTCATTAATGGGTGATGTTGTACTCAGGTTTTGGTTTTCTGCAGATTACAGTATATAGCTCCAATATTTGTTTTCATGCTTACCTTCTGTTAATGGAAGAGATTGTGGATTTTTATTTATGATACTGAAAGTAAGTCATCTTTTAAAATAGATTTAGTTAAATAAATTGTCATTTGACTTAAAATACTCAATATGTGACTCAGTAGGTGGAAGAGGGTGACTTCCACAAAGAAGTGACTGAAGTTTGGGAACACTGTGGTAAGATCTATTAAATATCTAGGGGGTGATTATTTCTAGAATAGTTACATTCCCCACAGGCATTTCCATGTGAAATTGACATAGTAGTGATGCATCTTGTTTAATATTGAAGTCTCAAAAGTAATGAAGAGAATGGAAGGTAGGTGATTATCTGGTGAGTGCCTCTGTGCTAAGTGTTTTTCACTTGCTCTCGCTTGAGTCTTATAGCAAATTTGAAAAATTAGTACATGCACAAGCTTAAGTCTGAACTCCAAGCCTTCTAATTATGCTATTGTGATATCAGCTCACTGACTTTCTTGTGTCAACTACAAGTACATTCAAGGTGAAAGATGTGTGGGAGAGGGGGAGAGATAACTGGAGAAAGCACAGATTTGCAGTATGGTTTACTCAAGTTTGAATTCCAGATAAATATTCTATGTCACCTTAGTTGGTATTTACTATGTCATTTACAATGTACAAGCTTTTCTGAGCCATGGTTTTCTTTTCATCTATAAAATGTAGGAAATTATAACTAGTTTACTATAACAGTTTTGGAAGGAGTAAGTGAAGTAGAGGTGTGAATTTGAATTCTCCACATTATACAGCTTTGTAAATAAATGGCAGAGCAAAGAACATTGATGAAAAAGAGGAGTAGCATGTGTATTTAGCATAGTGGCTGGTAAGTAGTTACTTAATGTTAGCTGTCATCTTATTAAAAAATACAGACTTTTTCTTAATTGAGATGAACTGCTGTTAATCAGATGCAGTGGATTGGAAAGTCAACTTTATCTGCCAATGCCAAATTTTTAATCCCATCAGCAGCCCTTACTCCACCTCAAGAAAGAGTTTGGGACAATTGAGAGATAGTGTCATTATGTAGTCATATTACTTACAAGTTAATAAAGAAAATGCATCTTACATCTTTTCTTCTTTCCTCTCCTGGTGATCACAAGGCAATGGGCTACTTTCACAAGCTATCTGAAATAAGGATTTCTGTGTGATTAAAATTTGGTTCCTTTCATTGTATCAGGGAACACTAAATATATGCAGATAAATTTATTCTAATATTATTCAAATAGTGCATTTCATCAATAATGATGGATAATGAAAATTAAAGTTTTTTTAAATAAGGATCAATGCAAATCCTTATGAAAAAGTTATATACAGGAAAGCACTTAGATAACACCAGGAAGTATCAATACTTTCATTTATTTTCAGAATTAAAGAGTTTGAAGATGCTGTTAATTTCTTCACCTCAGTTCTTAAAATTGACCCCTGTTTTCTGGATGCTTATGTTGGACGGGGAAATTCTTACATGAAATATGGTCACAGCGAAGCCACCAAGCAAGCACAGAAGGACTTTCTGAAAGCATTGCATTTTAATCCGATATACACAAAAGCCAGAATTAGTTTAGCCTATAATCTGCAGGTAATTTTATATAACAATACCTGAAACACTTTTGGGCAAAAATAGAATATATTTGGCTCTTTGCTGATGATAGAGATAATATGTCATTTCTTTGTTTAAGAACATTTTTCCCTCCATTAGTTTTAGTATCCAGCAAAACAGTGGGACAGAGGCTAAGTTAGCTTCTGTGTCTGCACCCTACTGCTGCAGACCCACACTTATAAATTAATTTAAACTTTGCCTGACTAGTTTCACATGTTAAAAACTTTGCTCACATTTGTTAAGTAGCGTATACATGGTGTTGTCTTGGTTTTGTACTATTGAATTTGTGAAACTTTAAAGGGAATAAACAACATATGAGTGTTTTTGCAATGAACTTCAGTCAGTCATGGGGGAAAAAAAACATCATATGGGAATTTCTGAATCCAGATCTTTATCCAAATGGCATAGACTATAGGGTAGAGTGGAAGGGGTAAGTCAAGACAACAGGCATTTCTCCCCCCAGCAGGATGTGAGACTGCTATTCTGGGTTTTGCCAGAAGCTCAGAGTGGTTTCTGGGTCTCTCTAACCTGAGCCAGACATTTCCAAAGGTACTTACACCGATTTGCACTGATAAAAGACATACTGACACTCGTGGGGTAAAGTGCTTACTGTGTTATGTTTTCTATGAAAAGAAACGGAATGGTCTTAAATCTTTTCATTCCTTTAATATTCAAAATTTTTAACAATTGGCAAAAAGTGTGTTCAAATTATTGTAATTTGCCAGAATTTCTGTTAATAACCTGCTGTTAAAATCTTTTTTTTTTTCACTAAAAAGTGAGTGAGTTTTGCTGATCTAAGGTTGTTCATAAGAAAAGTAGGTGTTGGGGTTGGTTGTTATAGTGAGATATGCCCACGAATTTATTAAAAAGGGAAATAAAATTGATTTCAAAGGGTTAAGCATATAATTAGCCCCTTTTTTGATCGCAAGAGAAATGTGCAAAATCAATTTTAAAAGACAGAATTCTGAAAGGAGCTAGAGCTGATGATAACCTAACGGAATGCATCACCCTGCTCACTATTGCATTCAGCTGGCATTTAGTGAGCACCTAATATAGAGCAGGAACTGTTCTAGGTTACAGCATCCAGAAAATATACATAGGGCTTCTCATCGAGTTTGCCACCTCATGAAAAGATGAGTCTTGTGCAGTCATATAAATATTTCATCATACTCATAATAAATACAGTGAGAGAATTAAGTTAAGACAACTTACAAGGGAACCCAGCTTTGTTTAAGGAGTACAGGAAGATTAACAATTTCTGAGAGGAAGAGAATCTTATACTTCCAAAATATCCGCAACAGTGGAACCTCAATTAAAAAATTATTAAGGCAAGAAAGATTAGCAATTGGGATAATGACTGGGGCTAAGGCACAGAATTCTGGAGCACAAGTCTTACGAGGAAGAGACAGACAGCTGAGGTGGAGTAGTGTCATGGACAAGGCATGGTGGCGAGAAGCTGGAGTTGAACAACTCCTGGAGGTGGTGATGCCAGGTTGTGTTCTGGGAAGATCTCACTGGGGCTTTATCAACATGGAAGAGAACTGAAACACGTATCAGCATGAGAAAGGACGGGATTGGGAAAGGAGGGCCTGGAAGAGGAGAGTTGGCGGGGCCATCCAAGTCCTATTCAGGGAAAGAGAGACCATTTATACCACAAAAACTTAGAGATTCTCCCACTCCCTGCCTAGCACTAGGGATGAATAAAGGCGAAGTAACCAGATGTTGTTTGAAACAGATGGCAGGCATACTCATTTCGCCCCTTTGTAGTTTAATAGCCAAATATGCTAATCTCAATTTGCCTGTTTCTTTGTTCATGGAACAAACTTGTGATGACAATTTTGCTTTATGCATTCTTTACCCAGGGATAGATGATTTGCTGGCCCACAATATCTAGTTATCTTGGTGAATCTGAGTTCTGAGATTCTGGCAAGTTGGATTTTTGAGGCCATGAGAATGGAAAGAGACCAAGGAACATGCTGAATGTATCAACTCACTGCCTTCCTGCAATGTGGCACTTAGTTGCTAACTAGTCTTTTTTTTTTTTTTAGATTTATTTATTCATATAGAGCTGGGGTACATACAGGCCAGAGATGCGGAGGGTGAGAGGATTCACCAGAGACAGAGCAGGGAGCAGAACAGGCAGATCGACGAAGTACACTGCTGAGGGGAGCAGTGGGCGGGTCAGGAGAGGTCTGCACGCCATGTGGATCTCCTCCGGGGCAGGCGGGGATCGAACTCATGTGGAAGTGGCTTAAGCTTCTTGGTGCAGCGCTTTAACCCGCTGCGCCACCAGGGAGGGCCCGCTAACTAGTCTTTTGAGGAAATACCATGACATATTTCTATTAGCAGTGCCCCTCTCCCAACCTTTTGTTTTCAGTTGATCCCAAGCTTGGTCTAATCAGACATGTAGTAGATTTGCATGCATTTTCTATGGACTATATATTGTGATTCTAAATGTCCAGGTGCTGGTACAGTTTATAAAAGTAGGTCTTACACAATCAGTTTATTCATTTATTTATGTCACCTGTATGTATAGGATTGTGTGTATTATATATAACTGGAAATTCAATGCTAAGCATCTAAATGCAATCCTTGCCCATGTTGAGTGGAGCTCAGTATAAACTTTGTTAATTATTTATTAGAAACATTGGCATTTCACATGGAGACATGATTTTATGGTGTCCAAATTGGTGTCAGGAATGATTCTGGAAATTAGCATTATTTTTCAAAACATTTATGCCTACAAGAACTGGGGTGTAAGCTAGAGATGCAGGAGGTGAGAGGACTCGCCAGAGACAGGATGGAGTAGAACAGATGGATATACTGAAATACACTCCTGAGGGGAGCAGCAGGTGAGACAGAGGTTTGTGATGCCAAGTAGATAATTCCCTCCCTGGGGCTCAAACTCATGCTGCACTGGCTGGCAATAGCTTGATAGCTTAATAGCACTGGAACTTTATCCTCTGTGCCACCAGGGATGCCCCCTATTAGAGTTCTTTTAAAATTAAAATGTCAATCTCCCTACTCAGAGGTATTTATTCAATTGAAGGTACTCACAGTACAGACTGCTTCTTCATTTAAAATATCTAGATTTAGCTCAATATTCCTGTAATAAAGGTTTTATTTGAATGTATTAGAGTCATATACATTTGTCATGTTATGCGCTATCTCCTAGTTTATAAAATGGAAAATTATTTTAGGCTCAAGGAAAATTCCAGAAGGCTTGGAACCACTTTACCATTGCCATAGAAGTTGATCCAAAGAGTTACCTAGCCTATGAAGGAAGAGCTGTGGTCTGCCTCCAGATGCAGGATTATTTTGCTGCAATTCAGGATATAAATGCAGCCATAAAGGTAAAAACTTCTCATATAACCATTATGAATTAACACCATATTGAATAAGGTCAACATAAGTTTTCTATTTCTTTTTGAAAGTGACTTGCATAGGAAATATTTGCATATTTATTCTAAGTCATTCCCAGGATGAGGAATTATTATGACTTGACCAGTTCAGAAAACAATCCCTGACAAATGTTGACTTCCCCCATTAAATATAGTTTATAGTTGAATGGGAACATCAGTATAGTTTTGTCATGAAAGCTAGTGTAAAACAAAATAACAGTCTAGTTTGAATGAAGTAAAGAAAGAACAATGTAAATCTCCAGATTCTTCTTTGGTGAAATGGCAAATAAAAATCTCAGATTTTGGATTCAGTGACAGAAAATCTTTTATGTCTATATTGTTTAAATGCTTTATTTGTAGATATTTGGTGGATATTACAATCTCAGATGCAAGAAATGCTGAAAGATAATTGCCTGTACACAGGATAAATAAACATGTTAACTATTTACTATCTTCTCCAACTTAATATAGCTAGGAAGATTTATCCCTTGTCTGTTCTTTGGAAAGGAACTGAGTAAAGTACTAAGATTGTTTGTTTTATTGCAACCAAATCAACAAAGTGTTGACATTGAACCGACTTCATACTAAGTTCTTTTTCAAAATATTTGCTCAAATGGGGTTTTTCCTGTACTATACAATTACTAGTTTCCCGCAAGTAGATTTCATAACCTTCATTTTTGCAGACATGAAACTGGAGATAAATACTATTCCCAGATGCTGAATACTCACACTATTATATTGCAGATCAATACTACAGCAGAATTCTTAACAAATCGCGGTGTGATTCATGAGTTTATGGGTCAACAACAGAATGCAATGAGAGACTATCAAGGGGCAATTTCTTTAAACCCCACATACTCGCTGGCTTACTTTAATGCAGGAAATATCTACTTTCACCACAGGCAGTTTTCCCAGGTAATGTGAGTTTTCCTTAACATTTTCTTTTAGACACTAAATGCTTTCTTTGTTCTATATAATTTCAAAATGCAATCCTTACATGTCAGATTAATCACTCATTAGCTCTTTTTCGAAAAATGTTCTCATCCACCAGAATGTTTATAATTATTTATTAAATTTATTTACAACTATAGTGGATTTATTCTCCTTATTACCATTAAATGGCAATAACGCTTGTCCAGTAAATTTTTTTTCGACTTCCCCAAGTACCTGCAATTGCTTTCCACTGTCACCAGCTCTCCAGCTGGAATCTTCTGTTGGGTCTCACTTAATTAAATCTCAGACTTTCTTTAAGACCCTCTTTCATGATGTGATTATCTATCTCATCTTAATTTCTCCCTTTTCTAAATTACAGTCACTTACTGAGAATAAGGAGATCTGGATGTGAATTCTGGTTTTATGATTTTTAATCTTTTTGGACTTCACTTCATAATGTCTGAAACAGAAGTGGTGGGCTATGAGATGACATTTCTTAATATGCAGTATTTCTTTTTCTTGTTCTTTGTTTTTTTTTTTATTTGGAAATTAAATTCACTTATAATTATCCATTTGTTTCTATTGTGAGGTATATTATTAGTAATTTTATGTCTTTCCCTGAGTATTGCATTTTGCTTTATCCCATGTATTTGGATCTGTACTGCTTTTATTTTTGTTTCTCCCAAATCTTGTACCTGCAATTCTACTTTCATTCTAGAATAAGTTAATAGGGTATTTAAAAAATCCAGGTCAAAAAGCTTTTATATTTTCTAATTTTGAAATGTATTGAGTTTTAACTGATGATTTATGACATTTTCCCCCTAATTCCAGGGGACTTTCTAAAGGTGTGTTTCTATTAACAGGACATAGATGTATAAGATCTACCTTATAATTGTTTCTAGGCTATAGTCACTTCTTCTTCTTCTTTTTTTTTTTTTTACTAGTTTCTCCCGAACAGAGAAAGATTTATTTAACAATCCTACAATTATTGTGGTCCTCTTTAGTTTTCTTTCTATCTTTTGTAAGTTCTACTTTATGAAAATTTTTGCTGCATTATAGCTGTCAGTATTACATTTACCCTTTGCTTTTTTGTTTTTTTTTTTAAGACTCTTTGGAGTAAATTCTACTTTATCTGACATCTACTTCATAACCTTTGATTTTATTAGGTTCACTTCTGCCTGATATTCCTTTGTCCTTTTATTTTCAACATTTAGATGTATTATTTTTACATAGCATAAAGTTGTATTTTGTTTTATGAATTTGAAAAAAAATGTGCTTGAGCTCATTGGGCCAGCTCTCCACTCTCTCACTCTGTTCTCCCATTTTGTTGTGAGTTTTGTTATTCTTACACTGTCAGATGACTAAATGCTTGCAGATGATCTCTTACAATTATTTCAAATTTTAGTCTTAGTTGTTCAATTAAGTATATTCAGTCCTCATGAGCAGATAGTTTGCAGGTCCCCTTCTAAGCAATCCTTCAATGGTTGTCTGAATTAGTCCTGTAGTGGATTCCCCGGAAAGGATTCATCAAAACAATATTCCTTAATTATTTTCCTTTCCATAGCTGGTTGCTTGTCATTTTTATCTCTTAAGGCAGCCTATCTGGGTTTGAATCCCTAATTCTCTTATTTTCTTGAGTGTCTTGTAAATGTTGTTTTTGTTTTGGGATATTATAATTTGATATCGAGAAATCTGATGTGGGTCTGATTTTCATTCTTTTATCTGTGAGTTTTTTCTGCAATGATAATGGAAGATTTTTGCAATAAAAAGTTTTGCCCCAAGACATGGGGTCACATTTATCAGGTATACAGTGTGTGTTTTCAATAGCAGATTTCAGGAAAGTTTTGTTGAGTTCACTGTAAATTTTTTAATTTGATTTACTTCATTAGGAATACAAATTATATATAAACTTGGTCTGTATATACGTGCCCACACATATATACAGATTATATATGATGTCTTTTGACTTTCAAATAGAATTGTTTTCAAAAATTTCTATTTCAATTTATTTGTCATTTTCTTTGCTTTCCTCACATCTCTCTTTTTTTTTTTTTTTTTTAAAGATTTATTTATTTGTGCATACAGAACTGGGGTACAGGCCAGAGGCTCAGGGGCGGCGAGAGGCTTCACCAGAGACAGAGTGGGGAACAGAACAGGCAGATCTATGAAGTACACTGCTGAGGGGAGCAGCCGGCAGGTCAGGAGAGGTCTGCCACGCCATGTGGTCACCTCCGGGGCAGGCGAGAATTGAACTCATGCGGAAGCGGCTTTAGATTCTCAGTGCTGTGCTTCAATCCGCTGCGCCACCAGGGAGGGCCACATCTCTCTTTTACAACTTTACTGTGCTTTCTCATATAGCTGTTATTATTTTGTGGATCTTCTAATTCAGGTTTCTTTGAGGTTATTTTCCTTTTTCCATTCCATTTCCATGTCATATCTTTTCTGATTCGTTTATTTCTGAATTTTTTTCTTAACTGCAGTTGCTTCCTTGGCAGTTTTTTCCTTGTTCATTTTGAATTGTTATTTTAACTGCATTGCAGCAATTTTTCTTGATGCATAAATATTACAAAACTTGAGCTTTCTTTTCACCCTTGTTTTACAAAGAAGGCAGAAAAATTACTTTCTGCTATTCACATTTGAATGAGAGAAATTAATTTTTTTGAATAAGAGATTCTTGTGGGGGATTGGGGCATGGACCATAGTCATTTTTCAAGTTGGGGTCACTCTGACGCTGTTATAGCAAAGGACTTGACACCATGTCCTCTCTTCCCTAGTCTGGTCAGGGAAGGTTTCCCTACAAGCTTGGTGTTTCTCAGAACTTTTCACAGCCTTTTCTGTGTAAGATGCTATATTCATTTTACAAAGTTGTCTTTATTGCTTGTATTTTCTGGGGCTTTTAACCTCTGTATTTCCTGCCACCCACTACTGTTATCATACTCATTAATCACATGATCTTTGGTGTACATAAATATGTTAAGAAGTTATGATTCTTACCTGTATTTTGCTGGTGAAGTTTTTAGCAAGTAGTCCTGATTCTGTTTAGCTCTTTATTCTTTCTTTAAAGGTTTATTTATTTATGCATACAGAACTGGGCTACAGGACAGAGGTGTAGAGGTGGTGAGAGGGTTCACCAGAGACAGAGTGAGGAGCAGAACAGGCAGATGGATGAAGTATACTACCGAGGGGAGCAGCAGATGAGGCAGGAGAGGCATAGATGGACAGAGAGTATATGGGCTTGCTGAAGTGGCTTTAGCTTCATAGTGCTGGGCTAAAACCCACTGTGCCACGAGGGTTTTTTCTAAATAAAGGCAATGATTTACATTAGTGCTTGTGTTTTGGAAGTGTAGTCTACTCTTCTCCCTCTTATCTCCTCACCGTGTGCTGGTCCCACAGCACTCCTGCCACTAAAGCACCCAGAGTCCACTGTGCTCTCCCCTGCCACTGCTTCCCCTCTGAATGTCTCTGCTCTACAGTGTACTTTCAAAGGCTTGTTTTGAGCTTGGTTTTACTCGACCCTTTGTTTGGTTTCTCTATATTCCATATAGATGGGACATTCTCTAGTATTTGTCTTTTTCCTTCAGGCTTATTTGCTTAGCATAATCCCTTCCAGCTCTATCCATGTTACAGCAAATGGCATGAGTTTCTCTTTTTGATCACTGAATAGTATCCATTGTATATATATACCACATCTTCTTCATCCATTCTTATTTTGGAGCACTATGTTGTTTAGTGCATAGTTTTGCTGTTGTAAATAGAGCTGCAGTGAACATGGGAGTTCAAATTTCCCTTTGATTTAGTACATTTGTTTTCTTCAGGTAGATATCTGGGAGAGGAATTGCTAGGTCCTATCATAGAAGGCTCATGGGGAATTTGATGGGGTTAGAGTTCTAGACTATAGATGTGGCTGTTGATGGGAGTGGGATACATAATCTATGAAGTCATGAGGGAAGGAGAAGAGTTGAGGGACATTTTAATGTAGAGAGATAAATTTTGATAGCAGATATTTCCAAGTATTGGTGATATTTTCTCCATGGAATACATAAATTTGGTACCAGTTAAGAGAGAGGGAAGATGGTTAATAAGAGGAGCAAAGAGCTAGAAGTTTTGAGGAGGAAACAGAAAATGTGTTATAATTGTTTTTGAAAGTGACAGGACTAACATAATAAGAAATTTTAGTAGAATTGCCATAAAACATTGTTTTCATTTTAGGTTTGTTGTCATGAGTTTGTTCTTTGAGTGTTGAGCTCATATATGGAGCACATTTATTTAAAAAAAAAACACAAAACCCTTTTTTTGTGCAGTTATAAAGTGTGGTCTCAATTTTGTCACTGAAACTCAACTCCATAGGTGTACAGCTATATTGATCTCTTATCTTATTAGACTAGGTTATAAGATGTTTTGGGCCAGAAATAATCTACTTTCTTCTCTGTACATTTTCTTATTCAGAAAACCTACTACCAAGTCTAGCTCTTTACAAAAATCTTCTTGAAGATGTCGTCTTCCATAAAATCATCTAGATGAAAACATAATAGTCAACTACAACTTTGTTTTTCTTGTCTTCTTTATCCAGTCAGTCACTAATCTTGTCAGTTTTGTTTCTTAACTTTGTCTCTACTACTCACTCTCTCTTTGACATCAATGACCATTGCCTTAGTTTGGCTGAGTTTATTCTGTCCCAAATTAGATCATGATGTTAACCCTGTTATGACTCTTGTAATGAGCCTCGTTGACCTCAATAGTGAAGCTAGATGCCTGCAGAAAGCCTCGAAGGTATAATTCAGTAAGGCATAAACCAGACTGCAGTAACTGTGACCTAGATAGGCAGCTCAGAGATGATGGCCTTCCCAGGCTGACAAGCCAGGTCCAAATACCTTAAACTCAAATCTCAGAACACTAGGTACCAGCAACTTTATATCTACATTGTAAAATTAAGTAATTCAATTAAGACTAATAAAATGGGTTGTTTTCTGTTTCCCTACATGTTCAAGAATCACATGCAAGGGACATGATACTTTTTAAACTTACTGATCTATAACAACTCCGTGGACATAATAGATGAATCTATTTGATTAGATTTAAAATATTCAATATTTGACCTTTTATTTATTTCTACTTTTGTACCATGACTATTCCTCCCTGCCTCCTGCCCCAGTTCTTCAATTGGGGGATTTCATCTAAAATGGAATGCATTTTAGGGAATATTTTCCAACTTTGTCCTTAGTGGACTTTTGATGTTTGTGAAATGGTGGGCAGGGACCCAACCAGAGCCAGAAGTTGAGGTTCACATCCTGGCTCTTCCATTTATTATGTAACTAAAGCTGTCTTTGCCTCATTTTCTTCACCTATAAAGGAAGGTAACTAATAAAACTTCTTCAAGTAGAGTTGCATAAAAAAGTATTCATGGGGCTCTCCCTGATGGCGCAATGGGTTAAAACACCAAATTATGAAGCTCTCCAAAGCCACTGCAGCATGAGTTTGATCCCTGGCCAGGGAGCTGACCCACTGGCGTGGCAGACCTCTCATGACCTGCCTGTTTTGCTCCCTACTCTGTCTCTGGTGAATCCTCTCATCACCCCTGCACCTCTGGCCTGCATCCCAGTTCTGTAAGCATAAATAAATAAATCTTAAAAAAAAAAAAAGAAGTGTTCATAATAAATGGATAAGTGGTGGAGCTGGGATTTGTACCTGGCTCTGGTTGGGTCTCTGCCTACCATGCATCAATGGAAGTCAACTAAGGACAGCTGCATGGGAACCAAAGGGAAAGAATTCAGTGGAGGCCATTGAGGAGATTATCAGAGAAATAGAACAAAAACCAGGGAGACACCCTGTTGATAGGACAGAGAGTTTTTTTTTTTTTTTAAAGATTTATTTATTTGTACATAGAGAACTGGGGTACAGGCCAGAGGCTCAGGGGCGGTGAGAGGCTTCACCAGAGACAGAGTGGAGAGCAGAACAGGCAGAGCAAAGAAGTACACTGCTGAGGGGAGCAGCGCGTGGGTCAGGAGAGGTCTGCAGCACCATGTGGTCTCCTTCCAGACAGGCGGGAATCGAACTCATGCGGAAGTGGCTTAAGCTTCTCAGTGCAGTGCTTTAACCCGCTGCACCACCAGGGAGGGCCAGGACAGAGAGTTTTAAGAAGAGAGGAGAGAGTATATATGTGTCTGTGTGATAGAAATGTTGTGAAAGAAGAACCAGGAATGGTCCAGTGGGCTTGAGGCCATTTTCAATCTTAATTGAAGAACGCATGGCCCAGGAAGCAGTAGATGGGATAGATTGTGCTTTATTTTGGAAAAATTGAAATGGAAGAGAACAGCTGTTTTTTTTTTTTTTTTTTTAAATGGCTTCCTTTAGGGCCCTCCCTGGTGGCACAGTGGGTTAAAGCACTGCACTAAGAAGCTTAAGCCACTTCCGCATGAGTTCGATTCCCGCCTGCCCCGGAGGTGACCACATGGTGTGGCAGACCTTTCCTGACCCGCCCGCTGCTCCCCTCAGCAGTGTACTTCGTTGATCTGCCTGTTCTGCTCCCCACTCTGTCCCTGGTGAAAGCTCTCATCCTCCGCATCTCTGGCCTATACCCCAGTTCTATATGAATAAATAAAAAAAAATTAAAAAAATGGCTTCCTTTAAAAATGTTTAAGGTAGAAGTAAAATTTTAAGGAATCATGTAGTTAAAGAAGAGCTTCCTACTTTAGCATTAAAATGTCTAAACAGTATTTTAAGCTATTTGTGGGTTTGAGCCAGTTTTTATTCAATTTTCTAGTTTACATTTTTTCTTCTTATTGTGCTCTTCTAATTTTTATGTATATTTTTCCTTGTGCTGTATGGGATATGGTATATGTGTGTGTGAGGGGAGGGGAGTGGAGCATTTTGTCTTAGCAGTGGTATTTTCTCACTTCCATTGTTTAGAATTGCTCACACATGGTGATAATGAAAAAAAGACTAACTTTTGGTCAGTTTTATTGGTTTTTACCTTCTTGACCAATAATGCACCTCCTTACCACCTGGGATGAAATACTTCCTCTATCTCCTTGTGCTGTCCCTGACCTTAATTTTATACTGAAAGTGCTTCAATGACTATATAGCTACCGATTAAATTATATTCAAATTAACATTATCTTCATATTTTATAGGCCAGCAACTACTTCTCAAGGGCTTTAAAGTTTGATCCAGAAAATGAATACATAACCATGAATCGAGCTATTGCAAATACAGTATTAAAGAAATATGAAGAAGCAAAAGAAGATTTTGCTCGTGTCATCGAAATCTGTCCCTTTTGGTCTGCAGCATATTTTAACAGAGCACAGTTCTACTGTTGCTTAAAGCAATATGCACTAGCTGAAGAAGACCTTAACAAAGGTATTTTTGTGAACTTTTCTGGGGTAAGATTATAATAATTAATGTGTTTTTAGATGCAAAAGAAGAAAGTCATCTAATCTACTTATCTAGTTAAAAGTTCATAAGAATATTCTATCTTCAATGTAATTAATATAGATTCCTCTCATGCAATATCTTAAAACTTTGGTTAGCTGAGATAGGGAAAATTATTAGGTAATCACACACAACCAATGCAAATCTCTTAAAAAAGAAAAAACAACACATACTGTACCACATTTTTGAAAGTTAATTTTCTCAGCAAGATATAATATTGTTAATTTAGCTTAGGTACATTTTAAGAAAAATATTTTCAAGTAAGTAAACCTTAAAATTCTTATGTTATAAAGTGCTTGTTTATAAAATGAGACTTTTTTTGAGTGCTAGCATAAAACATATCTTGAAATAATCTTCTTTTACAGCCCTGTCTTTGAAACCCAATGATGCTCTAGTATATAATCTCAGAGCAGAAGTTCATGGTAAACTAGGTCTGATCGAAGAAGCCGTAACTGACTATAATCAAGCACTTGACCTTCAAGAATTTGCCTCTTATGGACTGTAGTTTCCATGGTGGTTTATACACCTTCCAGAAATTAAAATGTGGTGTTGTTTAAAGCTTGCACTATCTTCATTGTTGTGTTCATGATGTTTCATCTTTAATGCAGTTTAACAACATATTTGAGTTATATATTAGTTATAAAACTTTTAGATCATTTTCTGCTTATTTGAAATAATTAATGTTTGCATTTCTTTAATGGGATGCTGATTCAATGGGAATATTTCCTAAAGTATATTAAGACAGAATGTGTTCTTTAAAGTAAAATGATACCATTTGAAATGATGCTGCTGTTAATTGCAGAAAATGTCACTGACTTTTTATCAATACCTACACACTATGTATGCACAGTATCCAGATTTCAGACAATAAATATAGAGCTGATGGCTTTAAAGAAATTTAAGTCCAGTAAATTTTCTGTCTTTTTAAAACCATACATATACAAGTTTGTCTCTTCCTGGTGTTTATAGTCTTCCAGCATGAAATACATTTCTCTTTTATATGTTGCGTTCTTTCCAGGACAGAATCCATAAGATTAGTGCATCCCATTTGGTAGATGCCTTTTGGCCATGGATAGCAGATAATTAAATTTGAAACTTATAACTACAATAATCATGATTGTTTCATTTAAATTAAGCAAGATATATTGTTGCATGCTTCATAGACTTTGTCTGCTTTCTCAACATCTTGGTGAGGTAGGAAGTATTACTAGATGAGGAAACAAAGATCGGGAAAAAACTGAGTTACATGATGAAGGTCTCACAGCTAGTAAACAGGAGGTTAGTGGTAACCTCTATTCACATTTCAAAGCCTCTGCTTTTCCTGATCCGTTTTACCTAGAAATAAAACCAGAAAAACTTAGTCTATCAAATAATCTTTATTATGTTAAAGTGCTGGATTTGCCTAGTGATCAACAACACAGAGAAAGGATCTCTAATCGTTGACATTTTCTTTTGTTTAAAAAAAATAAGTTTTCAGTGAGGTAACATTTGTTTACATTATGTGACTTTTTTTGGCAGGCAACATTACAATTCATTATGGTTCAGTTCCTATCTCCCATCTCCATCTTAGCAGCTTGCGTCCTTCACCCTTTACCCTCTCCCAACTCCCTTCCCTCCTGGTAACTATTAATCTGTCTTTGTATCTAAGACTTGGATTTTGTTTTGTTTGCTTACTTTTTTTTTTATATTCCACATATGAATGAATTCATACTATGTTTTTTTTTCTGACTTATTTCACTTAGCATAACAACTTCTAGTTTCACTCATGTTACTGTAAATGGCAAAGTATCATTTGTATTGATTTTTTAAATAGTTGAGTAGCATTTCATTGTGTGTTGGTGTGTGTGTGTTTGTATGTACTGTATGTATATACACATCTTATCTGTTCATCTGTTGATAAACTCTTAGGTCATTTCCATATTTGGTTATTGTAAATAGTGCTGCAATGAACATAGGGATACATATCTTTTTGAATTAGTGTTTTTCAGATAAATCCTGGAAGTGGAATAGCTGGATCATATGACATTTGTAATAATTTTTAAAGAAAATTCATACTGTTTTCTAGTAATGGCTGTCCAATTTATAGTCCTGCCAACATTATAACATGTATTTTTGTACTGGTATGTATCTGTGTGTATGTCTGTATCTGTCTATGTATCTATCCATCCATCCATCATCCTTAACTGAGTTAAAAGCATAATAATACCTGGAACGTTTAATTTGAAATAAAATGTGTGATATCTTATGTTTTATTTTTAGTAATAAAGACCAAGTAGAAATTTACAGTAGAAAATTCAACCTATAAGCAAAAAGAAAGGGGAGAAAAAGTAAATTATCACTTGTTAAAACTCAGTTAATCCTTAAGGATATTTTCATTTCACCATTATTAGTGAACCAGTTTTTATTATTTTAATTTGCAGAAGCAAAGCTTGAGGGACAGAAGGTTAAATAACCAGTTTAAAGCACAGTTAGTATAATGATGTTACCCAAAATATGTTTCACTGATATTAAATCAATATATTTCACTAAATTGACTATTATTAATTAAATTTATTTTAAAATGAAGGCACTTACAAATTCACAACTATTAAAAATGTGTCCTTGTTCTACATAAAATATCTATTTTTATGCCAGCCTTACTGAAAGAGCATTTTGGGGAACATCCTGAAAGTATTATTATTTGATTGGTACAGCAGGAAAGGCAATCAGAGAAATGATGGTAATAGTTACATTCTTTTGCTTGTGGCTGTCCCCACACCATTTGCTGAAGGGACTATCCTTTCTCCAGTGAATAATCTTGATTACTTTGTTCATAGGTTAATTGTCAATGTAAGTGTGAGTTTATCTCTGGGCTCTTGATTCTATTCCATTCCATTGGTCAGTTTCGATTTTTATTTCAAATGCCATACTGTTTTGATTAGTATAGTGTTGCAGTACAGTTTGAAATCTGAGAGAGTGATCTTCACTTTTTTCTCTTTTGTCAAAATCGCTTTGGCTATATATATATATAATTCTATGTAACTTTCAGTAATGTTTGTTCTATTTATTTGAAGAGTGCCATTGAATCTTTGATATGGATTGTGTTGAATCTATATATTGCTTTGGGCAAAATGGCCATTTTAACTATGTGTTTTGATATTATACTACAGGGGATTCCAACAAATTTTTAGTTATTGTCCTTTCTTAAGTAAGTTTGCATGAATGAAGGGTCAATCTTGAATGGGGGGAGGTAGCAGTCAAAGTGTAGACACATGTTTCTGGCTCTGTCTGCTGAAACAGGTGCCTAAATAGTAGACAGGAATACTTTTATTAGTTGATAAATTCCACTAGAGTAAATGGGACATACCATTGTGTTAGTTTAATCTATTAAGTATTAAGACACTTAAATTTCTTCTTTTTCTGACTACATTCTAGCCAAGAACACTTCTGGTGAAATTTGGATTTCTATGTGAGTATGTAGAATGATAAAGTATAATTCCATTTTATTATAAAACACAAGAACACATATTCAGAATACACCTATTATATTTTTATCAAAAGTCTTAAATGATTTTTATACACCAGCCTTTAATAGTGAGTACCCGAAATATAGTATTGCTGGTATGAAGGGTATTTTGTTAGATGGTGTGTGGTATGTGAGAGGGTTAAAAAAATCCAATTTGATTTTTTTACTTGTCTCATTTTCCTGACTTATTTTCGATTATTGAACATGTTTTGGTTTTGAAATAAGAAAACTATAAAATTACCTCCTCACTCCCTGAATTAAATAATTTGAGGCAATATTTCAGTCTATAAAAGACTGCCTTTTTCTTGGGGGCCCACAGTAGACTCTGAATGTGAACTGACAAGCAGGGCCCTTTAGAATTCTGACTGGTTTGGGCAGATCCTTCCCACAAAATATTGTAAGTTTATGTCTCCCCCATAACTATTTCTTTGGAAAACATATCCTTAAAACATATTTTTCTAAAATTATCATAATCACTTAAGTTTCCAGGTAAAATTTAAAATCATTTATAAAACCTGTAAGTCAGTTGTGATATTTTGTCTTCCCAGCAAGTACAGTTTTAGCTTATGTGCCAAAGGAGATTTTATCTTGCATGTAGTCACATGCTGATTTCAACTTTACTTTAGAGTTCTTTGAAAGTATAAATGTTTCCATAGTTTCTGGTGAAAAGGAAAAAGTTCATCACTGAAAACTTTGTCTTAACGTAGATACAATTTCATCACACAAATTTTAAGGGAGAAAGGAATCTTAGAAGACTGATTTATGCTGAAGACACTTGTAATTTTATAACCATTACTTGAAAGAAACAAATCATTAAGTGGAAAAGTATCACTTACATTCCAAATATAAAATGCTCCTAATCTTCAGTTGGTTAGTAGGTTAGATAATTCAATGTGATTGTAATTCATGAAGCTCTGAGACCTAAGGAATAGATCACTAATTGTTGTAGGAAGCATTAATTTTTCTGTGATTTCCCATAGGCAACCTATGTAAGTCTATAAATCAAAATAGCTAATATTTATTTTACTATTTAAAAAAGTTATCTAGCTATATTTGTTAGTGGGAGATTATCAGCTACCATGAAGTTAAAGTTTTAAATGGGTGCTAATATGCTTCTGTACTTAGAACTGTGTGTCAGGGTATTCCAAATACTTTGTATTGATTAATTTATGAAAATTATGTTATACACTCACAGAGTACAATCAGATGGAAAGGATAAGTAGGAAATCGTTCGAATATTTCTACCAACAAATTCCAGCTTTAGAAGAAATCATGACTATGTATAACCTGACTTGTGTTTAAAGACAGAAAAATAACTGGGATTTTAACTAAATATTTTGTGGTGAGTTTTTTTTTAAATGTGTTTTAGGGCACACTTTTCTGAATTCATTAGACTGGAAGACCACCATTTAGGTATATTTGCTATATTAGTGAGGAACAAATCTTTTTTTTTTTTTTTTGACTTTGAAGACCAAAATAAGGATCTTAGTGTTAGTTAGTGTTAAAGTGTTTTATTACTCAAAAACTAAAGATGAGTTTTTTCCTTAAATATATTTTTTTAAAAAAAGATTTATTTATTTGTGCATACAGAACTGGGATACAGGCCAGAGGTGCAGGGGCAGTGAGAGGATTCCCCAGAGACAGAGTGGGGAGAAGGACAGGCTGACTGACAAAGTACACTACTGAAGGGAGCAGTCGGCGGGTCAGGAGAGGTCTGCCACGCCATGTGGGTCATCTCCCTGGCCGGAAATTGAACTCATGCTGAAGTGACTTTAGCTTCTTAGTGCTGTGCTTTAACCTGCTGCACCACAAGGGAGGGCCCTAAAATTTTTTTACATAGGAAATATAGCTATTGGATGGACTAGAATTCCATTCATTCATCTGAATCTTCATGGCAAAATGCAAGAATTCAGAGGGATTTCTCCCTTTGGGTTATACTCTGAGATGTGCCACAAACTTCAGCATTCACACTCTTCAGTTGCCAGGGATCCCAGAAGGCA